GAAAAGCAGACATAGACAATATGTAAATAAATAAATGGCCATATTTCAATAAAAGTTTATTATAAAAAAGCTAGCAGCAGTAGGATTTGGTGGACAGACCGTAATTTACTTAACTCTTGTCCTGAGGGAGTTAATCATAAAAGGGCCTAGATTTGAAGTCTTGATTCATAATACATGAATAATCAAGAAGGATGGAGAAGAAAAAGAAGAGGAGAAAGAGACAGAAAAGAACAATTTCAAGTATCTGGGGCCATGGTCTCAGTATAAAGAGCTAAAAATCCCAGTTTCATAATTTGTGGGTGAATTTACAAATCCTCAAGTAAGGATTTTGGTATACTTCAGGTAAGCAGCTGTGACTGTGAACTGAGGAGTAAAATTTGCATCCCACCACAAAAGAAATTGCTACTGTATTAGTTATCTGTTTCTGTGTAGCAAATTAACCCAAAGTTTAATGACTCATAAGTAAGTAGTGACTATCTATAAAAGATTTTCAGGATCAGAAATCCAAGCAGAACTTCACCAGGTAGTCTGGCTCATGGTTTCTTGTACAGCCAGAAGTCAGCCAGACTGTTTTACTTGCATGTAAAAGCACAAAGAAGAAAGAAATATCTGTTGATATTTAAAGTACTTGTTCATATTATTTATTTTTTACTTTATATTTTATGTACTCATTTTCCTGAAACATTTGTCCAAGATTTCCTTATCCCAGCTAAAGTGCTTTCCACTGAAGAATATATGCATATATGTATGACTGTCATGGTTTTTATTTAGGTGTTCTCCCAAAGTCTCATGTAGTCATAGGTGGAACTTTTAGGAGTAACTGGATCATGAGCGTGTGATACTAGATCATGGTGAGTGACACTAGATTAGTCTACTGATGGGGGTAGCATAGTTTTAGGTGTGGATAATGGGCTTACTGGAGAGGCCAGACCCACCCGGGGTGCAGGTGGCACCACCTAACTGACTTATAGTCTGGATGGAATAAAAAGAGAAAGAAGAAAGAAGTTTCACTGCTTCCAGTTTCCTTGCCATTCCTCTCTGCCATGCTGTCCTGCCTTGAAGACAGCCAACAATGTACTGAAACCTCCACAAACTGGGAGTAAACTTTCCCTCCTGTAATTTGTACATGTTGGGTATTTTGTCCCGAAGTGAAAAACTACCATACTTTCCTGAAAAGAAGATGGGGTCTTATATTAATTTTTGCTCCAAAGATACAATAGGATTTATTTTCAGGGGGTGTCTTATTTTTTATGTACAACAATCTACATTTATTCATACACAAACTCTACCTTTACTCAAATACAGTCGCATCATTTTCTTCTAGTACATCGTCATAACTCTCCAGACCCCAAATTCTGGCTTGAATTTCTTGTGACTCCATTTCCTGTGGAATCATTAGTCCCAATCTTTCATGTCCAGCAATACAGCTCTCATTAAATGAGCCCTTCTTGTCCATTTGACCTGCTCATAGTACACTGGTAACACAGCTGTCAGTGATTTTATCCCATGAACTCTTCACTTACGTCACAACATCTTGCAGGCTGGCTAGGCTTCATAAAATTTCCATTAAATTAAGTGTTAACTGAAAGCTTCCAAGGCAGGAGTGGCAACAAAATGATGGCAGTTAAGAATGACGGTCCACACAAAAGCAAGAAAAAAATTGCAGGCAGCAAAATTCAGAAAGTCTTTATTTCATGTGATTGAACTAAATACATCCGTTATAATACATGACATATTAAATTATGATTCATATTAGACACAAATACATTCATTTGTTACCAACTGCACATGTTATTTACATATTTTGTCTGATTCCAATTCATCATTTGGCAATATTGTCCCAAGGTTGTCTGTTTACATCAGCATTTACCTCTCATCCAAAGATGCCTGTTTGAGTATTGACAAACAATTGTAATTATTTTAAGTAATAATGTTGATATTATTTATATTTAATTATATAATGATGTTATTATTTTATAATTCAATATGTCCATCGTGTGTTACAATACATATACTAAATGTGTTCATATGGCTAACAATCTTAACTGGGGCTTATTTTGGACTAAGGGCTTATATTATGAGAATCCTAAAAAATTATGCTAGGGCTTATTTTGGTGTTATGTCTTACTTTCAGGGAAAATCAATTTTGATACCAAGATGGTAAGATCAATTTTGGTACCACCTGTGGGGTCTTTGCTATGACTATCTAAACATGTGGTTCAGAAGCCTTTGTAACTGGCTTTCTGGAGATATTTGTAAAGTGTTGGACATGCCAGCTGAGTAACAAGCTCTATAATGCTGTAAGCTGAGCTTCATGTAAGATTCTGGTGGAACCTCAGAACAGAATGTTGAAAGCAATGCACCCAGTAAAGACCAAGCTCAGGAGGTTTTAGATGGGAAGGACTCCACTGTAGTTGCACTCAAGGCCATGTGTGTTATTCTTCAGCAGAAAATTTGCCTACATTTTGCCCATGTCCATAGACATTGCAAGAGACTGAAATTAAGGGCAGTGAGTTAATTAATCAGGCAGAAAAAATTTCAAATTATACCACCTCCTAATGTTAAGGAGGTGATATGACTATGCTGGGGGCCTCTAACCACCTATATCTTGAGAATCAAGAGCAGAATGATTTAAAATTTTGAAAGGAAGCTTCCAGAAAGGAAGCTCTGCTAAACTTGCAGCCTGCAAAGATGGGGTAAAAGAGACCTTGGTCCAGAAAAGATTAGCATTAAAAAGCCAAGATAATGAAAAAGATGGCTTGAAAGCATGTCAAGAAGCAACAGGATTTCACCTTTCCGCCTTCAAAATTGCAAAAGTGAAGGACTTTGCCTTGGAAAGACAGCCATAGGGTATCATGTTCCAGAATAGTGGTGGCCTATAGGCCTCATTCTTCTGGATTGAGTTCATAGTGCTCAGCCATCTAGGTAATAAATTCTTATAGCTAAGAGAAAAGGAAGCACGGCTACTGCTCCAGCTTGTGGCAGACCTTGGCATTATCCACGCGATGTCAGTTTTAGGTGCATGTAGAATGCAAGAGCAATGGGATCAGAAAGGCTTCCACTTAGATTTCTGAAGAAGACCTGGGAGGCCAGGCAATATGCCCTGTGAAAGGCTAGTGTGTGAAGTTATGAGTGTGAAGCTGAAAATGCAGTGGAGACCCTAGAAGGTTAGAGAAGCCAGAGCGAGGGTCACCCGAGGAAAGCTGCAAGCAGTGAAGTAAGTCAGCCAAGACTGAAGCTTGGAAACTACAACCCCTGGCAGTGCTGTAGGACTGCGATCCCCAGGCCCTTTGGAATTCACAACTTGCCACAGATTGCCCTGGGTACTGCACATGGAACAATGAGATTTAAATGTTTGCTCTGCTGTATTTTGGTCTTGCTTTTGTCCCATTCCTTTCTATACCCTATTTGGACCTTTTATAATGAGAATATTTATATTGTGCCATTCTATTTTGAAAGTGTTTAACTTTCTCACAGCCTTAAATCTCAGAGGAGACTTTGGACTTCAACATTCCACTGTGAAGCCTTTGGCAACTCTTAGGCATGGACTGTGTTTTGCAGAAAGGGATGCACATGAGTTTTGGGGCGCCAGGAGTGGAATGTTATGGTTTATAGCTAGTTATCCCCTTGAAGTCTTAGTGGATGAAATGTGTGTGTGATACTGGCTTAGTCCACTAATTGGTTTGACATAGTTCTGAGCATGGAAGCTGAATTTACTGAAGAGGGAAGAGATACTCTGAGTAGGGGTGGCACAAACCAAAAGGCTTATGGCTCAGATGGAATAAAAAGGTAAGAAGAAGAAAGTCTCGCTACATCCTGCCTATCTTGACGTGCACTGTTCCTCCTCTGCCATGCTGTCCTGCCTTGGAGCCAGCTACCTATGGACTGAAACCTCTGCAACCTGAGTTAAACCTTTCCCCCTTTGACTTGTGGAAGTTGAATACTTTGTCACAGCAATGAGAAATCAACTAAGACAGTGACATTGAATTTCTTAGAATTAGAGGATCATAAATTTTACAATGGAGCCCTCAACTGGCAATGTCAACCAGCACACAAAGCTATACAAGATATCCTCTCACTGTAGTAATTTAGCATAGACATCAGAAATATGTGGTAGAGCCTTTAGGTTAAAAGCAGGATAGTAAGAAATGTAAAAAATAAAGGCCAAACTAGATGGGAAACAATCACTGAACACCTGATGTGATCAGGAATTATGTGAGCACTATCAGATTCTTTTCCCTGAACTTGCCTCAGTTTCTCCCTATCATGTAAATGATTTCATCATCTTTTCTGCCCTTCAGAGGAGTTCCAGAGAAGCACATCCTGCACATGAATTTCTCTTACAACAGTAAAACCCAAAATTGGATGGCTGAGACCCAAAAGTAAAATCTACAAAGAAAGCAATTTTCAGTTCAGTACTAGGGAAAAAAATGTATCAATTCTAATTACCCAAACAGTGGACTTGCTTTGGAAAGTGTTGTCTGTGAGTGGGAAGCTATGCAAAAGCTCCAGTTTACAGAGAGATCTCTAGATCGAAGGAGAAATTGCTTAATGTAGCCGCCAAGTTCCTTTGTAACTCCAAGTTTTATCGCTAGGCATTTCTCCCTGACAGCAAACCTCGTCAGTTTTTTTCACCCTACTACCTAAAGTCACAGACTATGACAGCTGATGTGGCCTTGAGACTGTGTACCTGGTAAAAATCTTGAGTTTTTTTTTTAAATTTTATTAAGGAGAAAAAAAAAGCAGAGAAAGGGTACAAGTTATACAGATTTACAGAAAAAAATAAACAGTAGGAAATCATTAGTTAATGGATTACATATTGTCATCTTAGAAATAATTGTTTAAGTCACAAAATTAAAGCTTGTAAAGTGGACATTCCAACAGTGAGACTGCAAACAGTTCTGTTCAATGATCCAACAAAACTCAGTGATATCATTATCTATCTTATACACTTATATATACATACAGTTATATCATTTAGAGCACTTTCTTTTCCTCTCTTTTGTACAATGACAATTACCCATTTTGGGTTTTGTTGCTCCCACAGTTCTTATTACTTTTTTGGAAGGGAGTAGAACCAAATGTGACATAACAGAACAGAGTCAATCAAATCAAAAGGGTGGACATAATAGATAATGTAAAAGCATAATACAAGGTGATCAACAATGGTTACCATAATGCCTCCCGCTATCTCTAATAGAATTGCCTATATCATCAGTTATAATAAAATTGAAAAAAACAATAAAGAACAAAACCGACAAAACCAAAACATTGGAGACATTATAGGTCTTCAAAAGTAGATAATAGTCAACGAGAATGGGCGTTATAATGAATCTCACTATCTTCACAGCTGTTGCTTAAACTTTCGAACTTGGTACTATCAAGCAAAACAGAATAGGGGGACATCAGTCAAAAACAAGATGGTGAGAGTAATACAGGGCTTTAAATCAAGATAATGGAAAGTCAAAAAATCTTGAGTTTATTAATTTGAATCTACATTTTATGAGCTTCCTTTTATTATTTGGAATTTCAAAGTCATATTTTAATTGACTCTTAAAATATAGTTTATATAGAATAAAACAGTTGTAAATGTATTGTTAAATACATTTTTAAAACTGTGGAACCATCGAACAGTGAGGATAAAGGTTATTTTCAGCACCTGGGGTTGCCTCATGCTCCTGTGTATTCAGTCTTTACCACTTCTGCTCAGCACCCCGCTGTCTGCCTTTGATCAAGGTAGAGTATACATACGCCTATTCTAGCATTTTGTTTCTAAAAAGTATAGTCATAATGTATGAGGTCTTTTGTATATTTTGGACTGCGGATTGTTTTGAGACTCATCCACATTACTGCATACAATAGTCCTTTCCTTTTCGTCATCAAGCAGCTGTCCATCATGTGTTTGTACCAGCTTCCCAGTCCCCTCTTTTGAATGTACCTGTTAACTGTGGTGCCATTGTACTTCTCAAACATCCTGAGTTGCTGCTTCTATTAACTGGAGCAATTAACATCATACACAATAATTGCATTCCTTTTGGGGAACCAGTACATATACATATCATATCTTCATCATCTTTCATCCCTTCCCCCTTGTCTTCAGCTTCCAGTTTCCCTTGTGATATGCTGTTTGAAATTCTACTGCCTGGTTCATAAGAATTTCTAACTGCTATATCTTCTTAATTATTTGACTCCTTTCTGTTACCTTTTGCATTACTTTATTCCTTCTTTGCTCTGGCCTCTATTTTGATAGCGTTATAGGCGTTCAAGCCTCTCTTGATTTACTTAAGAATTATTTTTATATTGTGCAGTAACTTTCTTTTACACAACATACATTGTCCTACTTTTTGAAACTCCTAATGTGTTAATTTACATAGTTCATTGAAATCCAAACCAAGTCCAGTAATTCTATGAATACTGTTTATTTTTCAAAATTTAAAATTAATATTATTTTTTAAGAGTAGTTTTACGTTCACAGCAAACCTGGCTGGAGAGCACAAAATTCTAGGCACCTTACCTATACACACGCACACACACACACTGACATATCGAAATCTCCAAAGTCCACACATAGTTTCCATTGGAGGTCACTTCTGGTGTCATTCTGTAGGTTTCAACAGCATGCATCTACCATTTTTGTACAGTGCAGAATGGTTTCACTACCCTACAAATATTTCATGCTCTGCCCATTCATACTTTGCTCCCTGATAGTCCTGGCAACCCATGCTCTATTCATTATCTTCATAGTTTTGTCTCTTCCACAATGTCACACAGTTTGAAATCATAGTATATATGACTTACTCTGATTCTCTTTTTTCACTTAGTAATATGCACTGAAGTTTCCTCCATGTCTTTTCACAGCTTGGTAGCTCATTATTTTCTTAGTTAACATTCCACTTATCTGGATACATCAGAGTTTCTGTATTCATTCACCTACTAAAACACTTTAACTGCTTTTTAAGTCTTAACGATTATGAATAAACCCATGAGCATGCATATGAAGATTTTACATAGATGTATTTTCATTTCACTTGGGTTAATACAAAGGAGCCAGATTGCTAGATCATGTAGTGAGAGTATGTTAAATTTTGGTTAGAAACTGTCAAACTGTTTTCCGAAGTGGCCGCCCCATTTGTGCATTCCCCCAGCAATGAATGAGATTTCCTTTTGCTCCACAACCTCACCAGCATTTGGGATAGCATTGTTTTGTATTTTCACTATTTTAATAAGTATTTAGTGATATCTCAGTGTTGTTTTAATTACAATTCCCTAATGACATGTCTGTATATCTTCTTAGTTGGGTTTTTTGTTAACATCTTTGGCTGACTTTTTAAAATGGACTGTTCATTTTCTTATTGTTGAATTTGAAGATGTATTTGTATACTTTGCATAACTGTCTTATTTACAAATATTTCTCTCACTTGGGGCTTACCTTTTCATTTTCATTAACACTGGCTTTTTACAGAAGGCAAATTTTTTATTTTAATGAAATCTAGTTTATTGCTTATTTCTTTTATGGATTGTACATTTCATGTTGTTTATACAAGTCAACATCCAACAAATCTAAACCATCTAGGTTTTCCCCCTCTGTTGTCCCCAAGGAGTTTTATATTTTGCATTTAGATCTGATCAGCTTTGGGTAAGTTTTTTCAGAGGGTGTAAATAAAGTATGTAATCATTTTTCCTACGTGGATTCCAATTATTCTAGGACCACATGTTGAAAATAAAATCTTTATTCTCCATTGTATCACCTTTGCTTCTCTGTCAAAAGCAGTTGAGTATGTTCAGTTTCAGTTACGATATCTTCCTAGCAAGAATTGAAGTGGAGAACACCAATCCTTCAACTTTGTTCTTACTCAATATTATGAGGACTATTCTGGGGTTTTTGCCTCTTTAGAATAACTTTGTCATGTCCATAAAATAACTTGCTGGGATTTTAATAGGTATTGTACTGCATTCAGTCTTTAGATCAAGTTAGGAGGAATGTATACCTTCCTATCCATGAATAGGAACTATCTCTCCATTTATTTAATTCTTTGATATTTTCATTAGAATGTTATAGTTTTCATCATACAGTCCTTATACAAATTTTTTTGTATTTGTACTCTACTATTTCATTTTTCAGGGTGATGATGTAAATAGTAATATATTTTTTACTTCAAATTCCATTTGTTTATTCAAGGAATTTGATGGTCCTATGTAAATTAACCTTATATCCTACATTTGTGCTGTAATCACTTTTTAGTTTAGATTCTTCTGGGTTTTTTCCATAGATAATAATGTCATGTAAAATCTGGAAAGAAAGTTTTATTTTTTCCTTTCTAATCTGTATACATTTTCTTTCTTTTTTCTTTCTTTTTTTTTTTTTTTTTTTTTTTTTTTGTCTTTATCCAGAGCTTCCTGTATGACATTAAGAAGCAGTGAGGACAGGAGACACTGTTGCCTTGTGTCTGATCTTAGTAGATATGTTTCTGGTGTCTCATCACTAAACATGGTGTTAGCTATAGGTTACCTATACACGTTCTTTGTCAAACTGAAGAAGATCCCCTCTGTTCCTAGTTTGCTGCATAAGAATTATGAAAGGGTGTTGGATTTTGTCAAATGTTTTTTGTGTGTTGATTGTCATAATTGTGCAAATTTCTTTTTTAGTCGATTAATATGGTAGATTACGTTAACTGTTTTCTGAGTGCTGAGATCTATGTACATACTTCAGGGAACTCCAGTTAGCTATGATATATATTGTTGGATTTGATTTTGTAAATACTTTGCTAAGAATTTTTACTTCGATTTTCATGAGAGCTATTAGTCAGAGTTTACGCTAAGATTTTTCTTTGATTTGGGTATTAATATTGGCTTTAAAGAATAAATTAAAGAATTACTTCTGCTTCTGTTTTCTGGAAGATCTTGTAGTAAATCAACAAAATTTCTTCCTTAAGTGTAGAATTACAATATAAATCTGATCCTGGTGTTTTTTTGCTTTAGAAAGTTATTAACTACTGATTTCCTTTCTTTCAGTAAATACAAACCTATTCAGCTTGTCTATTTCTTCTCTTAAGAGTTCTAAGGATTGTGTCTTTGAAGAACTTGAACTGTTTCATCCAGGTTGTCAAATTAGTGGGCATAGATTTATTATAGTGGCCTCATATTTTCACCTGAATGTGTCTTTAAACTGTAGCAATGTTCTCTTACATTTCTGATATTAATAATTTGTTTTCTTTATTTCTTTTTTTTTTTTTTTTTTGGCTGTACCAGGGATTGAACTCACAACCTTGCGTTTACCAGACAGGTGCTTATGCCACTGAGCTAAATCCCCAGCCTGATATTATATGTTTTATCAGTATGTCCATGTTTTATCAATATGTTGACTTTATTGAAATTTCAATTGAATTTTGTTTTGAATTATATTTGTTTCTACTTTAATTTCCATGATTTCATTTCTTCTTGTTTACCTTGAATTTAATTTGTTCATTTTTCTTTAGTTGCCTAAGATAAAAGCTTATGTTACTGATTTTAAATCTTTCAATTTTTTCTATTACATTAATTCAATGCTATAATTTCCCTTTAAGTACTACTTTTGATGCATTCCCACAAATTTTGGTAAGTTTTATTTTCATCTGCATCTAGTTTGAAGTATTTTTTGAAATTTCTTTTTTTGAGCCATGTATTATTTAAAAGTGAATTGTTTGAGCTGCAAATGTTTGAGAATTTTAAGAACGTGTTTCTGTTACTGGTTTTTAATTTAATTCTGTTATGGTCTAAGAGTAGGCATTGTTTAATTTATATTTTTAAATGTCTTATTAGTATATATTTATTACTAGTATTAGTATAATAATTATATTTATTGGGGAAGTCGCATATATATATATCACATCTTGATCACTTGTAATTTGCTTGTTAATATATATAGTGGTTACACTAGAGTTTGCAGTACATTGACAACTAATCCAAGTCCACTTTTAATTAATAGTCACGTTGTAAGCACATTTTACAACAAAATATTTCAAATTCCTCTCTGCTGTTTCCTGAACCATTGCTGTCTTTCATTTACTTACAAGTAAGCACAGATGTGCACACTAAACACACACATACACAATCAAATACATTGCTGTTACTATCTTAGACAAGGTTTACCTGGTAAATGAAGTTAAAATACAAAAGGTGTTTATCTTTAGCCATCTTTTCTCTGGTGCTCTTCCCTTCTTTAACCCATCTAGGTGTTTTTGTTTTTGTTTTTTACATTTTGACTTTTAATTCTCTCTGGAGAACTTATTTTAACGTTTCTGGAAAGCCAAGTCTGGCAACAAATTTCTTCAATTTCTTTTGCATTCTCAGAATTTGCACTTCTCTCCTTTCTTATCCATCTATTCCTGCATGTTCTATTTTTTCCATTACAGTTCTAAGCATATTAAGCATAGTTTTAAAAAATTTCCCCAATATCTTTGCTATGGTTCCCCAACATCTCTGCTGTGCTTCTATGATTGTTTTCATCTCCTTAAACTATTTTGGGGGATTCTGTATGGCTTTTAATTTTTTGTTGAAATGTGAATGTGATGTTCTGGGTAAAATGAACTGCAAACAGCAGCCCTTAGGAGGTGGTGGTGAGGGGTGGGAGGGGAAACCATGCATTGTCCTGCGATGAGGTGGTCTTCCCACCAGCTTGTGCCGCTGGACTGTGGATTTCACTCGTGCATTTTGGTTTACCGTGTCTCAGGTAAAATAGGATGTCTGTGGAAACTGCAGCTGCCCACTTCCCTTCTTCCATGTTGAAGGTGAGGGCCAGGTGGAATTTGGAGTTTGCCTTTCCCTGAGAAGCTTAGGCCCTAATAGGAGCTAAGCAGGTGGTACTGTGCAGAAGTCTCTCCTGAAGGGGAAGGAAGGTCTCCTTAAGCGGAACAAAATGCTCTGGCTTGCTTTAAACAGATTCTTTTGCACCTTCTCTTGCCAGGAACACGAAGCAATTTTTCTCTGCTAGGCCTGGCCAAGCTCCTGAAGAAAAAACTCATAAACATAGGGGCATCTCCATTTGCCTGTCACTAGGTCCCCCTGGAGTTTTCTTCCTTTGCCCCTGTCTGTCTGGAGGTCCCAGCAGATCTTCAGTTACAGTTCACGTTTCTCTTCCCCAGCACATTTCTCTTCCCCAGGGAAGTTTCAGCCCAAGAGTTTCTATTGCAGTAGGCAATCACTCACTGCATCAGCCTATCCATCTCTCCAGTATTTTGCACAGTAGTTTTCATGCAAATTAATTTCTCTGACAGATCTAAGAAAAGTTTATTTTAGTTTATTAAGCTTTTCTTAGTTCTTCTTTTTCACCAGAAGTGTGTTCTATTCAACTCGTAACTTATTTTTTTCTGTCTATGATTCCTATTCATTAACTTCTGTACTTAAGTCTTCATCTTCACTGATGCTTTCTTTTACACTATCCAATTTGTCAGGGGCAGGGATGTAGTAGATCCCTGGCTCAGTGGTAGAGCTCTTGCCTAACATGAGCAAGACTGCAGGTTTAATCCCCAGAACTGGAAGAGAAAAAAAGCAATTTTTTATTAATCGCATTAAGTGTATCTCTCAACCCAAGCATTGTACTTTTCATCTTTAGAAGTTTAATTTGGATCTTTTTACATCTTCCATGTTTCTACTTAGCAGTTTTTATATTTCCTCTAGCTTCTTGAACCTATGAAATATAGTTAGTTATAACTATTTTGTTGTCCTTGTCGGTTAAGTCTAACATCTGCGTGAATCCAACTTTTTAATTTTTCTCCTTATTAAGATTCATATTATTAGCCAGGTATGGTGGTGCACTCCTGTATTCCCAACACACAGGAGGCTGAGGTAGGAGGATCCTTGCAAGTTTGAGAACAGCCTGGGCTACAAAGTGAACGAAAGGCAAGCCTGAAATGCACAGTGAGACCTTGTCTAAAAACAAAAACAAAAACAGACAGACAGAGAGACAGACAGAAAGAAAGAAAAGAATCTAATTCTGTCCACCTGGCTGGTTTGAGCACTTCCTGTCCTGTAGAAGCACTCAAAGTTATTCTACCAATTTCTCTCTCTGGTAACACTTTTCCTGGCCTCAGGGAATTTCACCTTGGCACCTTGCTGTTGGTGAATGCACCTTGGCATTCAGTAACAGACTCATCAGAAAACTTACACAGACTTTTGGAGCTCATTCTCTGTACAGGCACTGCCCTGTGGTGAGCTGACCTACACATACTGAGGGCATCAACCTTCCCAGCTTTGATCTAAGGCTCCTCCATGTACTGTGACCCCGGGTTCTGGGAAAGGTCTCCCTTCCTGCTTTGTGGCAAGGTAAGCCTCAAGCAGAAAAGAAAGCAGCATGAGGTTCATCCAGCCTGGGCTACAAACTGAGCTCAAGTCCAGCCTGAACTGCATAGCAAAATTCTGTTTAAAAAAGACCAAAAAAATAAAAAAAAGTTTGTGCAAGGCTGGGGACAAGGAGGCTGGGCACTGAGTCCCACTTAGAAACAGATGGTAAATTCTCAGGGATTGATTCCACAGGGGACATTCAAGCTGATTTTCAAGATTAGAAGCCACCTGGAGACGTGAAGACAGGCACAGAGACCACACAAAGAATGCCAGAGAAGCTGGGTGTGATGACACACATTTGTAATCCCAGCACTCAGAAGTTTGAGACCATCCTGGGCTACAAAGTGAGTTCAAAGCCAGCCTGAACTGTTCAATGAAACCCTGCCTCAAAACAAAAACAAAAAAAAGACCACAAAAATAATGCTTGATAAAAGTGGGCCACTTTACATTGCTGAAGCAGAGACAGAAGCAGAGGAGGGAGCTGGAGAGACCAGAAGTCAGGACTTGAGGGCCTTTCATGCCACCCTGGGAAGCCACCACCAAGGGTGAGGGTGAGTCTTATGTAACTGCGGCTGGCAGGGGCATGCCCATCTCAGCACGCAGCAGGTATTATTAGAAGATGATGATTGAGGAAGGCAACTCTAAGAAACCGCAAAACCCCAAGCAGAGCCAAAATCCCTTACGTTCTAAGCTCCAGATGGTTATCTGACTCCTCTAGCCCTTTGCAAATTCAGTTGAAAGGTGCAGCCACAGTGGTTAACCAAGCCTGAGGTGCTCCCTGCTGTGTGGAAAGTGCAGCACTCTCAAGAAGGCTTGCCTGTTTGTCTGGGGCACAGTGAAGAGAGAAAGGGACTGAAAGAGGGGAAGAGAGGAAAGAAAATGTGAACCAGAGAGAGAGAGAGAGAGAAAGCCTGGAGATAGGAAATCGCAGTGGGAGACACAGCAAGATGGAGGCTTAGATTGAATGAATCGATCATGAACCAAAGAGACGCTTTTTGGGGGTGGAGTGGAAGAAGGGGCTTCATCTCAGGAAATTCTGCAAATATGTGGGCAACTGGGCTACAAAGCTGAGGATACAAGGGCTCCCCTCTCTCCAAGGCAGGGAATGCAGGGCTACAGCAAGGACCCTTCTCTGAATTTAGGCTGGGATTCAAATTATCTGGACCCTTGTGGAAGTCTGCCTCTGAGGGCTGAGAACTTCCTGAGAAAGATTCATTTTGAAGGAAAACAAAGCCCAACCTGAGAAGCTCAGCCCTCACCAGACGGAATCTTGTACTGGGCAGAGTGTCTGAAGGTAAAGCTCAACTGAGTATATCCTTCCATGGTGTGAGGAGCCTCATGTGTGCAGACTTGCTTTGAAAGATAACTTTGGTTCCTGGCAGGTTGTGAGATCAGTCCTGTAGGATGTGGGAAGGTTGGTGGCGAGGTGACCCACACAGATGGCCTGCAGTGGTTCTGAGCAGGAGTGGCCATGTGCTCCTGGACACATGGGAGGCTTGTCCTAGCTCCAGAAATACTGCAGAAGCAGTGTGGGGTGGAGTGAAGCTCCATGCGAGTTGGTAGAGATGAAAACTAAGGAGACTTGGATGCTGGTCACTGATAGGCTCCCAGGGATGAGGACTTCCGAAAGCTAAGTTCTAGGAAATTACAGAGTGTGGGATGCTCCTTGGAACAGCTACCAAGATAAGAGCCGAGGCTTCCCACAGACACCCTTTGGAGATCTTTGGCCTTTTCCTGGCTGAAAAGTTTACTCTTTTCTAGCAAGTTTGCTGAACTCCAAGTGACTATCTGTGCTCAGCCCAGGGGAGGGTTCCTTTCTAGGACCACACTTCTGTGGCTCCCCATCTTCTGCTGATTATGCCCTGTAGCAAACCTATGCCAGTGCAGAGGTGCCTGAGCAAGAAAGGAAACAGGAGCCATCTCTTGGGCCAGGACAGAGCAAAGACTTTGAGGCAAAAGAAATAAAGACAAACACGCACAAATTGCTATTTTTGTTTTCTACCTTAGAGTTTGCTACATTTTCCCAATTATCAATAGAAAAAGGCAAATGTTCCTTCTTAAGTACAAGCACATACTTTTCCACACTCTAAGTGTACAGCTTTTCTGAGTTGCATATGCTTTTCCTTTTGGTCACTTCTGGAATGTCTGAACCTTATTATGTAATAAGCAGGAGATGCAGAGGACACCCCACCTGCCTGTGACAAAGGTCATGCAGCTAACATGAAAGGTGGATATAGCAAAGCTACCCAATTTGACCCATTTACACTTCCTGACACTTCATGCAAGGAAAGCACCCTGTGGTGGAAGGAGACACATTAACATATTTTTCTGCTCACCTCTACCAAGTCTTGGCTCATCCAGAGGGAGTGATTGACAACCCCAAAGGCTGCTGGGGAACTATTTGAAGAGGGGTGCACAAGAGGCCTCCTCCACCTGTTACTCTTTTCTTTATCACTTCACATCCATAGGGGTCCCTAAGCCCCAAGTGAAGGGTCAAGTGCAAATCTGGTAAACCAAGAAGCCCTAGCAGTTGTCAACTTAATTAGCCTTCAGAAAAAAATATATGGCTATACGAGCACAGTGGAGTTGCTATAGAGACAGGCACAGGAGGCACATTTAGAACAGGGCCTCATAGCATCACCCGATAAAAATAAGACCCAGGCTTTTTAATAGAATGAATTACTTAAGTCTTATATTTAACATGGGACGACACCAAGGCTATTACTGGTTTTCAGAATATTTTAGGAATCTGGGCTGCCTGCTGCTACATATGTTAACAGCCATCACAACATATGCTGTGGTGGACAGTAGTTCAGAACTAGAAGTCCATGTATCTCTCTCCTGAGATGAGAAATGGTCCTTCTCACATGGAGTTCATGCTTCCTTGACTAGGTGAGAGATTTCCAATGTGTTTCAGAGAACAAGTTGGGGGAGAGGTACACTGTGCTTTTCAATGGCCCTTTGCATGCATGGTCTCTAATCACTGCAACAACCCTATGAAGTAATTATCTAATTCTGCGGAATAAAAAAATGAGGTATGGACACCCACAACTTTTCCAGTGTTGCACAGCTAGTAAGTGGTACTGCCAGATTTCCAATCAAGGTATCCCCCTTCCAAAACTCGTTGCTTTTTAGATATCAACCACAACCACATGTGCACAGAAAGGAATCTGGGATGAGATGACCTAAAAAGATTTATCATTTTTATTGGTGGACCTTGTTATAATTTCTTTTCTTTCTTTTTTAAAAGACAAACCCAAAGTAGAGATTTCCAAGAAATAGTCTATGAAGATCTAGCCTCTGCTGATGAGCACTCTTCCAACTTCCCAAAGCAAAGATTAGATCTGGACCCTTGTGCCAGTCAGCTATCCATTACATGAGATAATCAATGTAAAAGGAAGTAAGATCCGTTTTGACTCAGTTTCTGGGGTTTTAGTCCACGGTCAATTGGTCCTATCGTCTAGGACCTGTGGTAACCCAGTACATTAAGGCAGGAGTGAGCACATGGTGAAGAAAGCCAGGAAACAGAGAAAGAGGTTGGTGTCCCAAGATCTCCTTTAACAGCATTGACCTAACTTCCTGCCATTAGTACCACATCATAGAAGTTTCATTATCCTACGGACTAAGCCTTCAACCTGTAGGCCTCCAGGGAGCATTTCCTATCCCAACACAGTTTCCTTACCTTCCAACATGTTTCTGGGCTTCTCCCTCCTAAGTCCAAAAACCAAACACAGGCAGGCCAGAATTTCAAGTTGAACACAAGTAAGAAAGAGTCCCCATGGCTCTTGCACACTTGAGAGCTGAAAGACACAAAGTCAAGCTGACACTCCAAGGCAAAGTTCCTGTGTTGACAATTTTGTTTTTGTATTATTCATGATGCTACTACTCTGCAGAAAGATGCTTCCAATTTTTTTTCTAAAAAAGATTATGCAGTAGATTAAACCTATGCTTTTGAGACGCCAGGCTTCATTTGTTATGAGAAACGGCACCCCTGGTGAGGACAAAGTTTAGCATAAGACAGCAGAAGAGTTGGGTAACAGGAAGATGGTCAGGAAGTAGGGAGCTCAGTGGCCAGGATAATAAAGAGCAGGACACACATGTTCCTCCACCTTCAGTTTGCCAACAAAGATTATGATAAAAGATGTCTAGGATTCAAGGAATCTGAGAGAGTGAATCTAGGACAAAACTAAAATACACAGCTGAACAGAAATGCTAAGCAGAGCATCAGTTCAAATGAAGGTGGCAGGGGGAGAGAGGGCAGTGAGGAATCACAGTCCAGGGTTTAGGACCCAGGCAGAGGCTCAGGCCTGAAGCCTGCAGGGTGGGGAGCTGCCAACCCCTCCTGGGGACCAGCTGAGGATGGCCACGCCACTCCCACTGCCATGCCTTGCCCCCTTCCGGGCAGGCAAAATCAGTAAAGACTAAGAGCCAAGAAAAGTAGACGTTAAGCTCAAATTATTCATTATTTCATTTTCAGACATACAGTTCTGCCTTATATTTGCATCGCAATTTGTGAATGTTTTTACTGCTTTTTTAGCCTTTTAAAGGGATTTCTGCTTCAATTAAAACATCTACTCTATTTAAAGTAATATGAGAAAAGAAAATGGGGTCTAGGAATAACTATGGAAATATTTTTATATTTAGTTTCTAACTATAACATGAGCCCAGCAAAAGTTAGCTGCAGATACACAAATTCTCATGTATATCAGAGGCATTTGATAAGATATTTTTTAACAAGTGAGTCATTTTGTGCTACTGAAATAGCTCCATGAAGTACCCTTGATGTATAATGATCTAAACAGATTGTGGGCTAACCTGGAAATTCAGCTTCTGCTGCAAGCACTACCATGTACAAGTTTTGGGCTTCAGCAGACTATAGCTTCTGCGTCAGTCACATCTTGCCTATAGTGACTCAGGCAAGCCATGTAACACCTGCATGCCTCAGTTTTCACATCTATACAGTGGAAACATTATCAGATGCCAAGGATACACTGCATCCAGTGGCCCCTGCATGCAGGATACACAGGATACACCCCATTTCTACCCCTGGTAAATGCACTGGCCAGGCTGGTCAACAGAGAAAGAAACACTCAGTCTCCCGACCACCACTGTCTAGGGCTCCCTGGAGAAGCCCCAGCAGAATCTCTGTACTTTCCTGCAGTAGGGTGTGGCTTTTCAGTGCCCTCCTCACCACAGTACTTTCCTAAAGAGGTGGGGAGAGGAGCTCGTCAGCTGCCATCCTTGCCTGCCGCCATGCCCTCCCCAGCCCTCTTTACCCTTTGCCCTCCAAGTAAGAAAGCCAAGGCTGCCAGGCCAAAAACTGCTGCTCAGGTCATGGGTAGCCTCTGTCTCCCTCGGTCCCTGGGCCCTCAGCCAGCTACCCCTTTGCCCAGAGATGGCCCTGCTAACTTTATTCCTGCCCCATAGTTGGAATGACAGTGGCTCCCAGGATCCCTAGGGAGTGGAGCGGGTGGTGGGGTTCTGGGGAGGTCGCCAGACCAGGAGCAGGTTAATGTTACAGCCCTGGGTGAATGTGCTGGGAGGCTGACGTCAGGCTGATGCTGGGTGGAAGGGAGGGCCGGCTGCTGTGCTATAAAGATAGGTCAAATCAAATGGAATCACCTCGGGCACAGCGAACAGGAGAGTGTGACAGTCCCCGAGCCATGGGCTCAGCCTGGGTCCCTGTGCTGTCAAGCCGAGCGCCTGAATCAGGTTTTGGTTTCATGTCAGCAGCCTTCATCTGCCTTCCAAAAATAAGCCCCTGCCGCCATGCCGAGGGGAGAAAAACAAGAAGGGCGGTATTTTTAGGGCCATTAATTCTGACCACGTGCCTGAGAGGCAAGGTGGATGGCCCTGGAACAGAGGCTGTTCATCACTATGTCCCGGACAGCAGGCCATCTCCAGCGCACACTGCAAGCTCTTGTCTTCCTTGGTATCCTAGTGGGCATGGTAGTGCCCTTGCCGGCGGGCACCCGTGCCAACAGCACACTGCTGGACTCAAGGGACTGGAGCAAACTGCTGTCCAGGTCTCGTGCAAGGCTAGCTGGAGAGATCGCCGGAGTGAACTGGGAAAATGGCTATTTAGTAGGGATCAAGCGACAGCGGCGTCTCTACTGCAACGTGGGCATTGGCTTTCACCTCCAGGTGCCCCTCAACGGCCACATCAGTGGAACCCACGAAGAGAACCCCTACAGTGAGTGCTAGTTGCAGCCAGTTGGGATGCTTGGGGGCTTGGGCTCAAGCAGGGCTAAATGGTGGAGGAACCCACATCTGGTGGATAGGACCCTACTCTAAAGGGGGAGAAACGGTATAGATAGTTCAAGCTCAAGATGCCAGTAGCCAAGCATCTTGCACTAACTGGGTGCCCTTTGCCAGCCCCTGCAGCATTAACTACTACAGCTTCAATGGCCCATCTGGAGATGACTGAGAACCATCAGCCTGGAGAGCCATTAAGGTAGTCATGGAAGTAGAGTACTTGGACCAAATTAGACACAAGCTTATTTTTATTTAGTTTCTCTCTTTGAAAAAGAAGACAAGTGGTTTGCAATATTTCCAATGAAAACACCCCCCTTTTTTTTAAATTTCAGTCACCTCTCTCTGTCCTCAGGTCCCTCCTTATCCTACAAATTGACAAGTAGCTGCCAGGATCCTGTCCTAACATAGCCAAGATGGGGTAGCGGGTCCAGGCAAGCCATCAGTTTCTGCATTGCTGTGGAGTTTGTGAGGGAAATAGGTTGCGAGTAGTTGAAAAATGTGGCCATATATCTTAAAAATAATGAGAATTCATATTTTTACACAAGTCGAGGCCCTAGAATGATTAAAGTTAGTGAAAACCCAGGTTCAAAGCTAATCTTAAATACAGATGTAAGAAACCAAGTAATTCCCAATGCTGATGCAGAATGTTTCCTGGCAGAAATGCATGTTTAATAGGATAATGGTGGGTTATGGCAAATCTAGCAGCCTAATCTCCTTAAATTGGGGAGATGAGGGGCAGAGGCATCATAGGTTGGGCTGGCCTGCTGGGAGGAGGGGATGGAGCGGGTGTTCCTGCAAGGTTGGGTCCCCACTCAGACTTGCACGAGCCTTGGGTGACACGGCCCTCATTTCCTTGTCAGGCCTGCTGGAAATTTCCACAGTGGAGCAAGGGGTGGTGAGTCTCTTTGGAGTGAGAAGTGCTCTCTTTGTTGCCATGAACAGGAGAGGAAGATTATACACAACGGTGAGTGCGTCTGGCCAGGGGAAGCTCCAGCTTGCATGAGGACTGAGGCTTATGCAATTAAAGAAGGCAGTGCAAATGCAATCCAGAGAAGGGAATCTGTATCTAGAGCAAGAAATGAGGGGCTAAGAAGGGAGCCCTTGTGAAGAAGGAGCCTCAGCTTTGCTTTGTCAGGTTCCCAGTGACTTACCACTGCCTTGGACTTGGCTTTCCTAACTCTGTCAGGACCTTTACAATTAGAGAAATCATAGCTTGGAGGGAAGACTGTTCCCGCCCCAAACTGTCATCCAGGCCTGTGGTCAGGTCTGAGTCCCTGAACTAGAAATGCCTGGAGATTCAGCCTGGTGTAGGTGTTCATGTCTCCCTAAGAGACAGGAGGTGTGTCAGTGGAAGTCCTTTCTCACTTTTACTCTAGATGAGATTTGGTATCCTAAGTTTGATGCCCTCTGGTTTCTGAGCTTGTAGACTGCGGAGCTACCCTTTCTCTCTGCTCTCTCTTCAGCAAACACAAGCCCTCCCTGTGTTATAGTCACCTGTAGGAGTGGGATGCTGGCATCTAAGCTCATTTACTGTCACCTGGGTGGTCTCTGACCTCCTCATGTCTGGGACTCTCAGTCCACGATTTAGCCTATTTCAAAAGATGGGTTAGGAAAATACACCAACAAAGTTGGCCAAACTGAGAGTACTATTGGCAGAAATAAAGCAGTTTAAAAGGACTTGCTCAGAGAAGACTACAAAGAACACCAGTATTATTTATGGAGAGGGCAAAGAGGCTGGTCTGCTGCCTCTTGAGGAGAAACTAAGGACAAGAAGTAATGAATATGCTGGGTTCTGGGGGCTGGCCGAACAGAGGGGGTCGCTCATACAAGGCACTGGTGCACCACGTGGCCTCTGTTCTGTACTCTTTGGTGATGACTTGCAAGTTTGGCTGGTTTGGGAGGGCACATGGTGTGGGTTGAAATCAGGCATCTCCAGTGCAGTGCTTTTCACCCATTCCACATAGTTACCTCCTGTTAAAAGTACAAACGTCTTAAGTAGGTCTAGTGGTGTGTGCCTGTAATCCCAGCACTCAGGAGACTGAGGCAAGAGGATCCCTGTAAATTCAAAGCCAGTCTGAGCTATACAGCACCATGTAGTGAGACCTTGTCTTGAAAAAAAGTGTGCCTTCTGTGTGTGTGTGTGGGGGGGTGCTGGAGATCGAACACAGGATCTTGTACACACCAGGTAAATGCTCTACCACTAAATATTACCAGCCCCAAAACATGGATTTCCAGAGACTCCCTTCAGAGATTCCTTATTTAATAGGGTTGCAGGCTATACATCTGTCTGGTTTGTTTTTTAAATTTCTCAGGCATTTTCAAGGAATAAGCAGGCTTGGAGACCAGCAGGCTACAGGGCCTCTGGAGACAAGGAGCCAGGCTCTTGCAGGGTCACACTGGCCATGGGAGCTGGGGCCCAGGACACAGGGACACTGCCTGAGGTGTGGAATCCCAGCTCACCACTCTCTGGGAAAGTGACAGGGAAAGGGAGCAGTCTGACACACTCCAGGGCTGTGGTGGAGGAAGCCTCCCTACAGGTGAGCTCTGGCCTCCCAAGGAGCCCTTCTTAGGGCTGCACAGGCCCAGAAGCCTGCTGGGTGGAGGACCAGGGTCCCAGGGACTGGCATAGACTCCATACTGGGCTCCTCACAGCCCTACCTCCTGGGCAGGGGTGTGAGTCACAGAAACCCTTACCCATGTCATCTTCCCTGAACAAACCAAGTACTATTCTTTCTGCTTACCTGGAAAGAAACTAACTGTGCAGAGGGGACCAGGCACAAACACAGGGTCACCTTATCCAGTTTCCACCTGAACCTCCCTGTCCTGGTAGAAGGAGCAGGGGGCAGCTGGGTCTATGCATTCCTGTGACGCCAGCACTCTGGGAGAGGGAGGCAGAGGCAGGACAGTGATATGTGGGAGCCCAGGCTGGGCAATGTAGCAACTCAGCAAGAACTTGTCTCAGAATAAAAAATAAAGAGCAGGGCTGGGACTGTAGCTCAATGTGAAGGTCCTGAGTTAATCCCCAGCACTGCCAGAAACCGAACAAGAGAGAGACAAAAAGAGAGAGAGAGAGAGAGAGCCAGAGGGGAAAAGCCACTTGGAGTAGCACATGGAAAACAGCCAGGGCTTTGAAGTGTGGGACACCAGCCCAGTGGGCTCTGGAAGGGACCAAAGGACTAGATGGGCTGGGCTCCCTAAAGGACCAGAGCTGGAGCCAACCCCCTTCCTAGCCCGCCTGCATATCCTATCGCACCCACTGGAGATTGCCCCGACAGCCCTGCGGGCCCCACCTGATGCTCCGTGGGGCTGGGGCCGGCGCTGCTGCACGAGCCAGTGCCCTCCACTGTCACCCTGGGGCCCTCCCCCACAGTCTAAAACAATTGCCAACTGACCCTGGAGCCAGGAAGGCTCCTGCTGGGAGGTGATTTCATTCACACTCTGTCTCATAAGCTGGGAGTTTCTGCCCAGCTGCTGCCCCCTGAGTGGTTTCCTCGAGGGGCAGGAGTGAGGTCCGGCACCCAGCTAGGAGAAGCTGCCCCAAGCCGCACCCCTTGGAAAGAGGGCATAGGGTCCTCCTTAGGGTGACAAGCACCCACACCCCACACACATCACAGCATCCCACAGAGACCCTGACCAGGTTTTATCCGCCCCTGGGAGGCTCTGAGCTTGATCCTCGAATTGCACCTGAGTCCCCATCTCAGGCCAGGGCCTGCCAAGCTCTGCATAAAGCTACCGAGCTTGCAGTACCTTGCCCAAGGCCAAAGCCCAGGGGCTTTTGAAGAAGCGAACTGGGATTTGAGTCCAATTCTGGCCTGCCCGACTCTCCAGCTACCCTGCTTATGTCACTCTGGGCACACTGTAGGCTGAAGCCAAATGAATGCATTCTAGCCTTCTTTTCTTTTAAAATTAAAGAAATCAGCTGGGCATGGCCCTAGGAGCTGTAATCCTAGTTACCTGGGAGGCTGAGTTAAGACAATGTCTAGTTCCAGGAACACTGAGCAGTTTAGCAGTTCCCAACCCATCTTAAAATTGAAAGAAAACAATTAAGTAAAATCAAAAAAAATCATCAAAAATCTCCACCTCGTGGGGATTGTGCTGACATTCAGTGGTTAAGAAAATACATACCAAAACGAAATTTGTAAAGAATTCAGTTATTTTTAAGTGACTTGAGTCTTACTAATTATAATTGCATTTACACCCTTTTACCCAACAGTTGCATGACAATATTCAAAGCACAAGATTGGTTTTATGCACAGACCCTCTCATGGTGATTATCTGGAGGATCCCAAGTCTTCTACCCCCTGAGTTAGCAGCCACCCTCACTCAGCAGAGAAAGGACTCTGAGGGGCTGGGACAAGGACACACAACCAGGACATGCAGAAATGGGCCTGAGATACCAGGACAGGAACATTGATAAGGCTGGATCCCCTGTTTTAAAATACTGTAGGACTTGCTGACCCAACAAAAACATTTCTCAACATTTCTAATCTTGACAATACAATATAGGTGGTGCAATTTTCCCAACAATTGTATACCAGCAAAAGGAGTTAGAAAATGCTAATGACTTCAGAACTAGAAGATATTTCTAAGGGCAGGAAAAGAAACAGTCAAAAGCCACAAAAGAAGCAACCCATCACTCTCCCCTGCCACCACACAGCCAGGAGTCACAGGGGTCAAAGTAGCTGCAGGATGAAAATCTTTAGAGACAGAAGTGACTTAACTCTGTCTGGAGACAAGAGGATTGAAGTCCTGTCCTCTAAAGATTTTGAGGGGCTCTCCTGCCAGAGATAACTCACCAGAACAGCCAGACATGTTGCCACTGCAAAGCGTGCTGCTCCAGAGTAACAACGGAATGCTTTTGTTTTTTAAGCAAAGTTTGGTTCCACAGGAGTCTGGTTAGACCTCCATAGAATCCAAGACATTGTCATGCTGGAGCTTGAACCTGGCAGGCCCAGGAAATGTGATCTGGTGGAATTACTTTCATTTGTTCAAGTAATTATATACGGGAGCCGCTTTTATTAACACAGCGTTTACTTGGCTGGAGTGCTTTTCTCACCAGAGCTGAGAAGCCAACATTCCTGAGTCGTGAGAACTCCAAGCTCAGGGACATGACAGAGAGGAATTAAGCGGCTGGGTCTTGAGCACTGTTGGTCACTGGGAAAACCCTACCAGGCTGAAGCATCAGACCTCATCAGAGCATTTGGGCACATGCTTGTCCAGAAGGCCTGCAAGCCACTGACCCCGGGGCAGCTACAAGCGGGGCTGGATTGCTGCTTCTAAAGAAAGCTTCATCTCCTTCTCCCTTTTCAGTTAAGGTTGTAGAGTTCTAGGAATAAACAGTAGGGCAGTGGAGTCCAAGTGCCCAAACTGCGACCCCAAACCCGCTTATTTATTGAAAAATGCCAACACTACCCATGTGTACGCTGTTACCCGATGATCACTGCAGGGCAATGCTGGGTGACTTGGCTTGAGTGTCCAGAGAGGGCTCTGCAGCACACATGCCACAGGTTTGCGCCCCCTGGGCTGGAGGAAAAGGCCAGAACAAAGACAAACAAACGTAGTAAACTCCAATTGTTTTAAAAAAGGATTTGAATGATCAAAGTCTAGTGGCAGATCTGAGGTTGCTTCTCAGTGGTAGAGACCTTGCCTAACATAAACAAGGCTCCTGGTTTTGATCCCAGCACTAGAAAAAGCATCTGATAAGCAGAGAACAAAGTAGAATACAGTTTCAGGACCTCCAGGGATACAAAAACTTGGAGATGTTCGGTTGCCTAATGAAATGATATGTAGTGTTTGCATGTAACCTGTACACATCTTCTTGTATGCTTGAAGTCATCTCTATATTACTTATATTACCTGTTGCAATGGACATCCCGTGTGAGTATAATGTTGTTTATATAACAGTGACCAAAACAAAAGTCTGTTCAAAACAGGCACAAATTTTTTTCAACTATTTTAAGTTCATGGTTCACTGAATCTGGAGATAAAGAGCCCACGGGGCCATAGAGCCAGCTGCACATACAGCCAAACTTGTGCACACCCAAGAGAGGCTCACTGGAAGACAGGTGAGCTGTGGACAGTGGGAGGCGGGCAGTGCTCTTGTGCCACTGAGAAATCACTCTGCTCCCCTACATCCCCTTCCTCTGCCCCATCTTTCTGCCCTAAGGTTTGTCCTCTTCTCTTGAGTTTGCAAACAACACATGAAACCTCTCCCTTAACCACCATCCAGATCAGAAAGAAATTCTGGAAGCTGTGAACAGATTCCTTTCTGGGAATATAGAAGGTTAGAATGGAGGACAAGGCAAGCAGGTGGAGCAGGTTATGACATCACCAGGAGAGCTGACCGCGCTGATAAAATGCTTTCTTACCCCACTTCTGGGCCCATCTTGTACTATGCGTTCCTTTCCACATTAAATGTTTCATTTACTTGGATGAGTAACACACAAACATGGCTTAAAAAGCAAAAGATGCAAAAGAATCTTCCCTAGACCTAAGTCCTACTTCCATCAGCATCTTGAAGCCAGCTAATTTCTCCTCAGAGGCAGTCACTGGTGCCAGTTCCTTGTGGACTATTTCAGAAATAACCTGTGCCTGCCCACGCGTGCGTGCCTGTGCGTGTGCATGTGTGAGTGTGTACTCAGGTATCAGGTTTTAAAACACACAAATGGGTATTCCATACACACTGTGTTAAGCCTCGCAGCTTCTCTTAGCAATATCTCTTTAAGGCCATTTTACAGCAATTCCTGTTTTTTCATGGCTATAGTCTCCCATGATATGGAGCCACAATATCAACTAGCACACTCCCCTCTGAACAGACAGCGTGATTGTCTTGCTGTTCTGTGATAATGTGTCAATAACTTTTGTGCGTATGTGAGAATGCAATAGTAAGATAAATTCCCTAGACGTGGAATTGCTGATTGTTTTCTGTCTCCATTTTTTTATTCTGGAAGATACTATCAAATTATTTTTTATAAAGCGTTCTAACCAATAGCCTGAAGTGGTGGCACACACCTGTCATCCCAGCACTCAGGAGGCTGAGGCAGGAAGATAGGCAGCAAATTTAAGGTCAGCAGGGCTACAAAGTGAGCTTAAGGCCAGCCTGAACTGTCTTAAAAAGACCAGGAAAAAAAAAAGAATTCTAACCATATACACCCCCAAGGACATTAAGTGAAATTTCTTCTCTCTGCCTTCACCAATTCTAGTATAGTATCAAACATGATTTGTAGTCTGATCATTAGAAATATAATCTTAGTTACGATTTATATTTCTTTTATTAAACATATTTTGTTATAATTAAATGTTATTTCTCTTTTCCTGTGAATTTTTCTACCTATATGTGTTCATTTTCCAGTAAGTTAAGGATTCTGACTATAATAGCGAAATTTTCTCTAAATACATATGTATAGTAAATATGTTTATCTATTTCACCATTTAAGTTCTAGTTTTGCTTGAGGTAGTATTTTTCAAACACACATTCAATTAATTAGTTTTTTAAAAATGGCTTCTGAGGTTTTCTGTGTGTGTCATGCTTAGAAAGATTTTGATTCAGTGGTTGTAAATGTTTTTCTAGACTAATGATGATCATTATTACGTTTAAATTTTCTTCTTTTGGGATTCATTTTGATGTAAGGAGTGAAGGCCTTCATCCAACTTTATAATTATTGCCTGACACTATTCAGCTGTTCCAGTTCCATGTCTTTTCTAGTGACCTTAAATGCCACTTCTATTTTATGTCAATTTCAGATTAGTTTTTAATTTACTTGTATTTCAGTTTTACATGTGTTTCATTGATTGCTAGATTCTGTTTTGTTCATTAACCTGTAACAGTCTTTTATGTAGTATACTTTAAATTTGTCATTTACGTTTTATAATCAAATCAAGTTTAATTTCTGCTAATGCTGCTGCTCTCCGAATGTTACTAAATATCCAGTCTCAGGTCCTGTCACTCATGTGTTCCCCACACGCAGGCCAAGAACCCACAGTCTGGAACCGTTATGGACCCTCTGCACAGGGCCAACGCTGCACGCTCCTCCTCAGCCTAGCTTTGTGATCTTTCCACACAAGCACAGGTCTCCGAGGCATCCTGCTAAAACCTGCAAAGCTTACCTAGGCACGGGAGTGCCACCTGTAATTCCAGTGCTGTAGGAAGTGGAGGCAGGATGATCACAAATTGGAGATTAGCCTAGGCAACATAGTGATTCAGCAAGGCCCTGTCTAAAATTTTTTTTAAATTTAAATTAAATAAAAATAAATAAAAGGCCCTAAGTTCAATCCCCAATACAAAATAAGTAAACAAACAGATTTAAAAAAACCTGTAAAGCTTACAAGCTAGACTAATGACTCACAGCAAATCTTACAGGAATAATAAGCATTGAACCCTGGACTATCTGTGCATTGTTTCTACTGATGCTCACGTCAATTCATGGCATAATTATTCTTGCTTTCTTCACTTTCTGGATAAGGGAGCTGAGGCTTAGAAGGTAAAACAGTTCCCTGAGGTCCATGTAGCTAAAAAGAGGGGGGGATCATTGTCAGCCTAAGCTCAAAGCTCTGATGCAAATACATTCATTGTCTGTATGGACAGTTTGTTCTCCCTAGTTGTGGGGCTTCCTTCCTTCATTCATGAATGAAATATCTACTGAGTACCCAGAGCAAGGGGCATGCAAACCCCTCATGGGCTGCATGAAGTGATGAAATACTTGATATCGATTCCAAACAAATCAACATGTATGAGAGTATCTTGTAAACAATACAAGAGAGCAAGAGAGGGGAAGGTGTGCGTATCTGTGTGTGTGCACACTTATCCACACCTGTGCATGTGTGTGTAGTGATGTTCAGAGAGCTCCAATCAGAAATGCTGGCCCTCAGCCCTGTCACATGGGAAGTTACATGTGCATGTCCATGCTGTCCTTATTCAATCACCCAGTTTCCACTGTGTCCCAAACCAGACATAGCCTCATGCAGGGAAACAGAAATGTCCCCAGTGATCCTGTTGCAAATGCTGTCTAAAAGCTATGCCACAAGGGCTCCAGGGCATGGGTGCCCTGTTGTGTGGACTCCTGACTGCTCCTCCACAACAGACAAGAAGGAGCTGTCCACCCTCGCTGCTGGAGAAACAATGTCAGAGGAGAGTTTCTTTACAGAAGGTCCAAGGACACCTCTGGCACCTCTGCATCGTGGGGGCTGCAGTGGAGGAGGGTTTTTGTTGTGTTTTAGTAGATGGGCTCAGTCAGCAGGAACAGGGCAGATACTTTACTCCACTTATTTCCCTCAGTTTAGTGCTGTATTTCTTTTAAAGTCTAGGGCCTGTGTCTCCTGGATCCCACCTCACTCTCTGTTCCTTCAGATCCCTCATAACACAACCCACAAAAGAACATGGAAACCCCTGTGAACTTCCTCTAGAGCAGTGGCCCAGGCAGGCTGGGAAGGAAAGAGCTCTCCTTTCTAGGAAAAATGGAGGACTTGGGTGATTTACTGGGCATGAACTTATCGATGTGTGACAGGAAATCCAGCATTCAGTCATGGTTCTTTACAAGTGGTCCCCACGTGGTTCTCTACCAAATTAGCAACGAGGGGGCCATTTACTGTTGGCTCCAGACTCCTGGGCTCCACATGTCATGTTGGAAATCAGGTTCTTTTCTCCATAAAAATTGCTACTTCTCACCATCTCTATTCCTATGTGGGCCTAGAGAACCATGAATGTCTGGGAGGCACCAGATACCTCCTGGTCTTGATGCCAGAGCCAAGGCCTGCCTCTGGAAGGGGCACCAAACTTGGTAGTGAGGAATCAGTATGGAAAGATAAAGATAGTTCAGTACAAGACTTAGAGATCATCTCTGCACTCCACCACCTGCTCCTCTCACCTACACAGTGTGCAGAAAAGGGACCCGAGGCAGAGAAGGGAATGAACCTGCCTGGATACAGAGAAGTCACTGAAATGGACAATGGATCTCCATCTTACTTCTCCAGACTACCTCCCGTAGAGGGCTGGAGAAGACAGTTCTTGCAACCTTCCTTGGTCCATGTATTGAATGGAAGGTATTATCATCTAAAGACTGAGTCAGAGTGCCCCAAGCTTGTAGTCAAGGGACCATCAACCCTCTCTCCAACCCCTTATTGCCAAAACAAGACACAGCAGAAAGGTGAGGAGGAGCCACGACAGCCCTGAAATCTTTCCCCATTATTCCCTCCTTTGATTCTGCCCCTTAGGAGGGAACAGACCCTGAGGAGATTGTCCCACAAAGGGACTGTGGTGGAAACTAGCATGCGGCCACCCAGCACCGCTCAGCCTGCATTTGCAGCCCTCCTTATCTATCACTGAGTCTCTGTTGTCCATTTCTTTCACAGCCCAGCTTCCAAAACGAATGCAAGTTCAGAGAAATCATTCTGCCCAACAATTACAACGCCTATGAGTCAGACTTGTTCCGAGGGACCTACATTGCACTGAGCAAATATGGACGGGTAAAGAGGGGCAACAAAGTGTCCCCAATGATGACCGCCACTCACTTCCTTCCCAGGATATAAAGGCACATAAACAAAGGTTCACATATGGAATTCTGCATGAGCAAACAATCCCCCCAATCTCCCATGACTTCTCAGTCAGACTTATCTTGTGCCTGGGGAGACCTGGGTTGGATTTCCTTGGCCAGTGGACCCCATGGCATGTAACCCACTCCAGGGGCTGCAACAGACACCATAGAATGGCAATGGAGCCTGTTCTTAGAACTCATCTGTGGTGAGAAGGTGTTGGTGACGCTTGTGGAATGTGAGCATGTGCACAGGACAGGGCCAGGGTGGGCGAGTGTATGTCAGTGTATATCCATACATCTCCATGTATATTCTCAGAGCAGAGGCATCTCAAAGCATCAAGTTTCTCTCGCTCAGCGTCATCACTGCAGGAATTCGCCTGTAAGAATGTCACCTGCCAAACCAGGAGGACTGATGTGTCCTGCCATTCTGCCACTTTCCAGCCATCTTTTCATTCAGAGGCCACTAACTGCACGGACCATGCTGGTGGCCAGGAGCAGCTGTCCTCCAAATGCAGAGAGGGCAGGCAGGGAGGGCATAAGGGTTAACTGCAAGCCAGAAAAGGAGTGACAAGATGCCCCAAATCTTGATGGGGCTCTGGGGTGCTGGGATGCACCATCAGGGAAGGTGGGGAAAGAGCTCCTGCTAGGTAGAGAGCTGTGCAGAGCGGGTGAGGAAGTCCGCCGAAGGCAGAAGAGGCACTGGATGTTCTGTGACAGCCCTTCTGCCTGGAGGACTCAACACTAGTGTGTGGCTTCCAGGACAAGCAAGGGCCAGGCTGCCTGCCTGTGGCTTTTCCTCACTTTGAACCGGAACTTATTTTAACCTCAGATGACAAGGATCCTAATAATGGCAACCTCTTTGGCAAGGAAGGGGCTGCAAAATAGGGCATGAAGGAAGTAGAGAGGCTTTGGACTGCAAACGATCATTCCTCTCCAAGTATGTCCAGGAAACTCGCCCAAGTTCTCATCTGATACTGTCACTTCCTTCTTGGGCACCTTCCTCTCGCATACGCACTGCAGCCTGGATTCAATAGAATGGACACTGTGACCTCCAGAGTTTGTCCCCTCTGCTCCCTACAGTAGGAAAGGAGTGCTAATCCTGTGAAATCAAGCAGCCAAGCTGAGACAGATCCTTGCAGCACAATGCCTTCTGGTGTCCTCTCCTTTGAGAGTATTTAAAGCAGAGGTTCCCCAAGTAACTATAAATGTGGTCTGCCTGGAGCCTTTGGATTCCTGAACCAGTGGAATGTTCCTAAATCTGAAACCAGAGAGAGCCGTATGGGAGTGCAAATATGTTCGGCATATGTGAACCCATTGAGTTACAAAATGACCTGACACCCTCTGCTACTCTTGGGGCCCCGACCTGCAAGACAATCCTTCATCTGTTGCAAATACCTTCATCTCCAACATGCCTCTCTATTCACAGAGGAATCCATCTATAGATAGATCTGGGCTGAGCGATTCTGAACTGAAGACAGAGGTTGGTAACCCACAGGAGAGACACTATATTAGCCTCCTCCTCTGCCCTGCTAGTGGGACATGGGCTGGGTGGGGAGGAAAAGGCCACACCAAGATAAGCTAAGGTTTAATAGCCAGTAGATGCTCAGGAGCACATGTAAACATGATAAAGTCTCAGATGGAAACTAGAAGAAGCTGAGTTTTGAGTCAGGTAAAAGTTGGGGGGAAATTCACCCATCTTGACATTTGAAAGCTGACAATTTTTAAAGAAGTCTTGCCCAGTGTAATCAGTCTCTTCAATAGATCACATCAGAAATGGAGGTATGCAGAACCTCAAACATGCATCCATTCCTGTTGTAACTGGGAGCACAAGACCCCTGGGAAGATGCTGGACTGGGACCCAGATAGGAGAGAAAATGCTAGGTCCCAAGGCTCCTTCCTTCATAAATCTAGTTCAATTGGTCTGAGAGGAAGCAGTCTTCTAAAGAGAATCTGCCAGGCCCGGGATTGCTAGACTTTCTTAGATCGCTCTAGAATTTTCAAAAAAATAGCCCAGATCCTGAAAAGAGGTCTCATTGATTATGTCTATCCTCCCTTTTCATGCTAGGCGTAAGACAGAGAAGCTGTAAAATGCCTACAATAAGGCAGGTTTGGGTGTTCAGCCTCTATGTAGCAGTAACCGCAGACTGATTTTCTATGCCTGGTGCTGATTAGGAGGCGCTGAGCATCTGTTCCAACTTGTAGCAGGGCCTGTGGGGTGTTAGTTGTGAAGCAGTTTGGGTATTAGCCCAGGATGCAGGGATAAATGGTTGCTGGTTTTGAAACTTTTCATGCAAAAGTATTCGCTCAAGGGCTTTATCTTTGACCTATACGTGATTTGGGCTTAAGAAAAGTCAGTGCCCATCCACAGAAGTGGGTTAAGGGATGGCAGCGGAATAAGATCAGCAAGGAGCAAGCATCTCAGTCCCTTCTCTCAGGCTACTCTTCACAGGTGTAGAGTTTTCCTACCTGGCCACTTGGCCACTGAGCCTTAAACTTGGTCATAAGCCCCATGGATTCAAAATGCTGCAGCAAATGTTGCCATGGGTGGGCAAACAGAGTGAGCTCCTCTCGCTCACAAATATGCTGTACTAAGAAGTATTTGGGTCCTTCCTATCCCAAATCCTGAGCAATAACCCTGGTTTACAGATTTGTCTTTGTTTATTTCCCAAGATTAGGGAATTGAACTTAGAAGAACTCTACCTCTGAGCTAGAATCCCAGTCCTATTATTGTTACTATTATTTTGAGACAGGAACTAGTTACATTGCCCAAACTATCCTCAGCCCTGCAGTCCTCCCAACTCACCTTACGAGTAGCTGGGAATGCAGCTAACTGGCTTCTCTTTGGTCCTGAATCTTCTTTGGCAGCTCCACACAAACTTGGGGTTCCAAGAGCCAAGAGATTGTTTTACCATTTCTTTAAGTACAAACCATAAAGAAAAGAACAGCTTTCCCGCATATGTTTGGAGATCTTTTCACCTGAGAGGAGATCAGCTCAGAAACAAGGGAGGCCTAGGACCTTCGTAAAACCTCCATCTTCCTCAGGGAAGTGGACTGACCTCATGGTTCTAGGAAACCAGAGAATTCTAAGTCCCTTGCTCAAACTGTTGATTATGTTTGTCTCACTATTCGCATTCACTCTCCCTCTCCACTTCCTATACAGCTTTTAACTTCCCTTGGAAGGCAGGATTTAATTTTATGATGAATACCACCTAATCCTTGTCCTGCAGAGCCTCCTCCTCAGCGGCCACCTCACAGCTCCTCCAGCACTCATAATTACCCTCATGTAGGCCTTGGTTAAGGTCACCCTGTGGCTTAGGAAAGAGAATGTTTTATCTCATCATCTGATTCAGGATATCAATCTCTCTCTTCACTAGACATACAGTAGCGAGCTCCCTCCAGGCTGGTCCTCAAGCCTGTCCCCAGTCTTTCCCTAGGCAGCGTGGAAATCTCCTTCCACTCTCTGGGCCCTTTTTCTCTAAGACCTCAGATCCTCCCAGTTCTCCCTGTGCAAGGCCTGACGGAAGAAGGGCATGGAAGCACCAATGGGCTGCTCTTCTTTCTCCCCGTGTCTGACACCCACTGCCTTTGCTGTGCTATGCAGTGGTCACTGAGGCAGACATAGCTACCAAATGCAGTCGCTGACCTGAGACCCCACAGTGTCCTCTCTGCCCTGTGTTCCCTTCTTTCCCATTCCATCTGGACACAAACTGGGAAAGTCCTCCACCTCTCTGTGTCTGTGCTTTTCCCCAAGCACTGGGCTGATGGCTGCTGAGGACATGTCTCCACCACTTGCCACCCCTTGTATCTCTCGTAATTGTTCCTCCCTCCATTCCCAGAAAGAATCAGCAATGTCCCTGCCACGTCTCTGAAAAGCTCCCAAAATAGGAATTTTCAGGATAAAACTAGAATAGACAAAATTACCCCAGAGCACGCTTATACCTGAGTGGATGAGTCTTTTCCCAGAGTAGGACGAGTCCATGATTGGGCCTCAGTCAGATCCTGAGTCTAATGCAGCGTGCAGACAGCCAGCACACGGTCCTGTTTGTATACCTCATTGAACTACTGAAATTCCAGCCACAGATAGCTGTAACTCATTACGGACCTCAGGCTGGGTCCCGGTGCAGAGCTGTCCTCAACTTGAGTACAGCAGGAAAGAAAACCACAAGTTGTTCAGATGTATGCTTGTGAACTGTAATGCTTCCATTTTTTAAAATATGTATGTGCTATGCACAAACCATATCATGTTCCAGCAAAAAGTAAAAGGTCTTTTTATACGTTTCTCTAAACTGTTTGACTCTATCCCTCCTATTAAAACAGATGGCAAATCTCTGGGTTGTGGTTGATTTTCATCTTGATTCTCTTTCCCTTCTCAGGGATGCGGGCAAAGGCAAAACAGAGAGCACAGACTATTTGTGCCTGGGATTACATGGGCAGGAAGAAGGCTGGGGCTCACTTAGGCCATTGGCCCTATATGCGACAGGGGAATTTAGTCCAGAGGAGGGAAGAAAGCAAGCCAAAGTTGCCCTCTTCCTCTTTGCCGTAGTCAAACTCAGATATACACATTTCTGTATCATTCATTCATTCAGTCACCCAACCATCAAGAAACATTTAGTGAGCACCTTAACCCAGTATTCGGCCAGGTTTGGGAATACAGTAGTGAGAAAGACAGACACCATCGACAGACACCATCTCTACCCTCTCATAAACTTGCATTTTAAAGAGGTCACCGTAGGGCACATTACCATGCAGATCCCAAAATGCCACTCCGAGAGGCACTGATCCAGAGGCCCAAATGCAGCCCAGTTGTAACACACACCCTGAGCATTTCAACTCTGAAAAACACTGTTTGCTAGGAGGACTGGAACTACAGAACATGAGAGAGAAGGGAGCCTTTAAAATATCTTTCTAAAGGCCTAAATGAAGATGATTAAAGAACCTAAGTCACTTTTCTTAAGCCTCCAGTCAGCAGACAGGCAACTTCCCTGCCCCATTCTTGCCTCAGCCACCCCCTAATCTTTCCATCTCTTCCACCACTGGGGAAGGTGAGCATGTGCCTTAACTCAGCAATGCTGGTTTCTGAATAGCTCTGTGTGCTCTTGGAAGAGCTGGCTGGTCCTTCAGCTTATGTACCTCAGTCCTATATTTAGTCACGAAATCCATATTTCTGATCTCCCACTATATACCCCAAATCACATTGGGCCCTGGAACTAATACTGTGACAAATCATGTATGGGTTTATAGACTGGCAAGGAAGACAAACATGAAATGAGCAATTACAACAGAAGGTGATGCATGGTCCAAGAGAGGAAGCTCAAATGCATTCGGGAGCACAGAGTGGGGGCCTGAGCTCACCCAGGTGGATAAGAGAACACCTCCTAGAGACAGACGAGCTCCAGAGAGGGTCAGGCAGGTTTGGGTAGTGGGTAGGGGCATGGGGAGAGGAGGGGTTCTCTGGGAGTGGAAGACAGCACGTGTTTGAAGATGGCATTAAGCAGAAGAAAGGAACAATACACTTTCCCAGATCTAAGATGACGCTGTTCCTTCAATACATGGAGAGAGGAGAGCTGGGCAACACGGGCTTGAGACAATCGACTTCTGAGTATTGGACACCTGGTAAGTGAAGGTAAGGTGCTTGATACTTTCTAAAATTTTGCGTATTATATAATTTACCTATCTTAGTTACTTTTCTCATTGCTGAGACAAAATACCTGACACACAACGTTAAAGAAAAGAAAGGTTTATCTGAGCTCACAGTTTGTGCCAGTTTCAGTCCATAGCTGGCAGGATCCAAGGCAGGGTGGTGTGGCAGAGGAGAAACTCAACAGGAAGGCGGGCAGGAAGCAGCAAGCCCATCTTCCATCTTTTTATTTTATCCCATTTGGGCTACAAGCCTATGGGTTGATGCCATCCACACCAAGGGTGGGGTTGCCATTATCCATGCCCAGAACTGTGCTAAACTCCTTCAGGTATCATGGGCCCTTAATCGCAGTATCACACACCTAATCCAGCATCACACACTCATGATCCAGCCACCTCCAAAAGCTCCACCAATGAGTGCATGAGGTTTTGGTGGGACATCTAGGTACTTGCCGTAATATTACTCTTATCACATGTCTGACTTAATGAGTTTTTCAGTAAAGTTATCAAGCTGTACAAAGTATCACCACAGATCAGTTCTTAAACATTTTTATTACTCCATCATGATCTTTCAGGCATGTTTACTGGTAATCCCCACCTCTTACCCACTTCAGGCAACTGCAAATCCTCCTTCTATGTCTCCAATTATGCCTTTGCCAGATAATTGATACCGAGGAATGGTGAAATATGTGGCCACTTAGATCTGGCTTCTTTCACTCAAAAAGTTTGAATTTTAAGCAAAAAACAATGAGAATCCCCTGGTGAGTTCAAGAAAAAACAGACATCATGAAGATCACTGGAGATCCCTCAACTCAGACAGGGCAAGCTTGAGGGCTAGGAGAACAATTTACAGGCTACCAGTTTGAGTGTCCATGGTTGAAGCAGATGAACAGTGTGGTGATGTAGGGATGAAAGGAAGTCTGGGCACTGGACTCACACCACAGCCCTGACCCCAGAGCGCTACTCACAGGCCTAATCAGATTCTTCTAAAGCCTCCATGAACTGGCCTCCTCTGAAATAAATCACCAGAGAGTTTAGATTCTCTGTGTGACCATTTGTGTCTCCCAAATGGACCAACAAAGAAGCCAGGCCCCTCTGCTGGAATTAGTGCTTGCTGTTGGGTTCCAAGACCTAGATATTCCGAGGACAGCCAGGGCCACTGGCAACTCGTCTTACACAGCACTCGACAGGAATGGCCACTTCCCTCCTTGTTGTAGGCTTTAGGAAGAAGAGCCAAAGGGCCAAGATAAGCAAGTAACTGATGTTGAACTTCTTTTATTGTAATGACAATATCTGAGGGATAATCTCAGATTATCAGCCAAACATCCGTTCGTCCTGTATTTTCCCATGGTTTTATGCAATCAGGAAATGATGCTCAGAATGAAAACTCCAAGACTCGCGTGATCTTCAGTTGTCAAAGGTAACTGTTAAGAAACACATGCTTATTTTTAAGCATTTTGTGTAACAACATAAAACTTTGGACATCCCTCTTAGAAGAGTTTAATGCTCAGTTTTTAAAAAAATCAAGCCACTAAAATAGTCTATTCTTTGAGTATTCCTACTGAGGTTTCCCTGAAAGAGAGGCCATCTGGGAGTCCTGGGGTGTAGCAGAGACTGAAAATTTTGTAGGTTGGTCAGATGAAGTGTTTATCGAAGTATTATTAATGACAATCATTAGTTATTTTTACCAAGAACATAGTTTGTACTTTCCAGGGGCCACAGGGCTGCTGCCATCTCCCCAGAAGATCACTGAGGGCCTGGCTCCATCATCTTGGAGTACTCTGACAAAATGTCTCAGCCTGGGCAGCTTAAGCAGCACTTTTCTTACAGTTTGGAGACTGGACGTCAAAGGGCTGTAGGATGGGGTTGCTGGTGAGACTTCTCACTGGCTTGAGGATGGCTCTGGTCTGTGTTTCTGCACACCCTTTCCGCTGTGTGGAAGGAGAGCGTGTGTCCTGGTGTCTCCTCATCCTCTGTGACCACAGTCCCATCAGCTTTAGATCCTACCCTTTAGACTTCACTTAAGCTTAATTACTTCTTTAAAAGCCCCATATTCCTAGTGTAAGAAATGGTAAGAATACATAAAAGTGTGTGATAATCATGATTCCCCAATATATTGCTTTGAAGACTTACAATGTTTTCATTCATTAGTTGGAATGGTTTTATTCTGGGTTGTTTGATTTTATTGTCTGTGATGGTATGAACAGCTATTTTGAAGAAAACAAGACATTATAGTAGCTAGTGTTGATTTAATATCATCTTGTTTTGAAGTCTCACCAAGCTTTTGTTTTTCTGTCTCCATCAGTTTTATCATGTTGTATCTTATTGGATCTTATTATATGTGACAGTATAAACAAAATTTTTTATAGACAAGGAGATAATATAGTAACCATTGTTCATTTTCTGTTAGTTGGTTCTGAATACCCTGTAATACTTTCACTCTCTTGAATGGTTTCACACTGTCTTGTTATGTTTGACACTATAGTATATGAAGGTATACTCAAATATTTCAAGGAAAGAGACACTATGGTAGATACTGTTATGTAGGGTTGTCTTGTGGTGAAACACTATGTTGCTTAAATTGTTCTGTTCTGACCTGTGTTGTTATGTGCTCTTTTATCTTAATCTTTTTTTTTAAATAAAAATGCCCCATATCCAAGTACAATCATGCTGAGAGTTAGGACTTCAACACACAATGCCGATGGGAGAGGATACAAACGATCAGTCTATAACAGTGCACAATGCCAACTGAGGAAACTTCACATTTAGTGTCACTATAATAGAATCACCCCAGCACACTGCTAAGCATCCTCAAGATACAGGACGGGCTCCTACCATTTGGTCCCTATTCTTATGGGAAGATTGAAGGCTTACATTGGGAACTAAAGGCTGCTTACAGTCTCAGATGCCACTAGCAGGTTTCATTGGGAATATGATATGGCCATCGAAAACTGCGTAGCACATAGAGCTGGCCTGTGGGCACTGAGACATCTCAGACCTAGACGTTAGATAAGAAATCTAGGACTGATGAAGTAGCATGACAGTCAGGTAGCTCGGGCCAAAGAGAAGTGAGGTAAACTCTCAGACAGGTGCTTACTCTTCTTCACCAGCACCTTCCTACTCCCTGCCTAGATCAAGCCTCTGCCTCCAACCTCCCATCTCACTGCCTATCAAAATCAAGCAGGATTTTTCTTCAGAACTTCAGCCTGATATCATTTTTTACATAGTTTTAATTTCATCTTTCTTTTTTCAAAGAATACTGTTTGTTTTTATTTCTATAAGATTATAAAATGAAAATATGTCCATGGCAAAAATTTTAGAATGTCTTAATGTTATGGTTAGGATCATAAATATACTCCAAATGCTCATACGTTGAAGCCTTGGTCACTAGTCCATGGTGCTACGGGGAAACAGAAAATAGTATTTGTTGTTTTCCATCTTCTTTACAGATACGAATGTCTGTTTTCCTTACAATACTGAGTGAGTTATGTTTTCTTGATTGGCTGATTATGTTTTTGGAGACTAAAGATGTAACTATTTCTAAAGAAGCACAAAGAACACACAGCAGAAAATGTCATCTTCTCCAGGTTTTCCAAACTCCGAAAGCTTCCCCCAAAATACAGTTTTTCTAGCTTTCTTTCAATTTCTCTCCAATTCCTTACATTATTTGTTTCTTTATTTGACTAAGCA